TCAGGTCATCTGCAGTTTTTTTTTTTTTTGTGCTGAAACATTTCAGCACAAAAAAAAACTGGTCCAGATGATACGACTGAAAAATGTTGGATTGTATACCTGGATTATTGAGCATGGACTTTGTCCCATCTGTTTATCTTTGTATAAAACATAAACTTCCACCTGTGTGAAGCCACAATGACGATGAGGGTCTTAGCTGCGTTCAGACTAGCCGTTAGCTCATCGACCCTGTCTTGACTTTAGCTCATTCTTGCCAGCTGAGCTCATTTAGGAAGCTATCTGCAACAGGTAAGATATTCGTTACTTATAACCGTTACGCCGACGCCCAATTCAAAATGACCAAACTATGTCTTTAGGTTGCTGCAGGAATGTTTATTTCTCAGTGACCTGATGTTAAAATGAAAACAGATAAACATAAATAATATTTTTTTGAGTACTATTTACCACATTGGGACATTTTCAGCCATAAAACTTATATTTTTGAGTTTATTGCTCAGCTACATGTTACAACAAATGTCCAAAGTGTCTCGATTTATAAAATAAAACCATTCGAGGAGTCAACATTCGTTCCGTCCACGATCTACATCCTGAACCACAGATAACTTCTTACAGTTTTTGTCGCTTTGTGACCCCAATTGAAGCCGAGCTGTTGACAAAAGTTTGACGTAGGTCAAGTCTCACATGAGGTGTTCAGATGAAATACAGGTTTGACAACACAGACACTCACAGGGTTAAACATGTGCTCAGGTCAGTTTAGAGTCCAAAAAAAAACAACAGACGGAAATGACAGTCGACAGCATCTTTGGGTGTGTCAGGACGTCGGTCCAGTTCAGCCTGACCCTCGGCACACGTCTTGTGTTTACGCAGCTCCCAGGAGGTTGTTGTAACGGCGTCTCAGCTCTGGAGTCAAACTGCTGCTCTGTTTGCAAACTAAGCTGCTTCTCAGGCAAATGTGCAACCATTAAGGCCCCTGAATGCAAATAATACCAGTGAAGTTTGGACTGCAATCATACCCATCAGGGCAGAAAATCAAGTCACGATGAACAGTGTCTTTATTAACAAGCGAAGGCTGGAGACGGATGGAGACGGATGGAGACGGATGGAGACGCCTTGAGTTTGAAGCAGTTTTGAGTTCGGTTCAGAAGCTCTTCCTCCCGTTATAGTTGTTGTTTCCTCTGTCCTCCTCCATCGCCTTATCCAGCCAGTCCCTCTCCAGCTCAGACTCCGAGTCGCTGGCTTCGCTCGCATCCGCTGCCAGTAGGCGGGAGTAGTTGATCCGGCGCTGGCGAGGGGCTTTCCACTGGAGCAGAGGCAGGCACACGGACCACGCCATCAGACCCGCCGCCACGCCTCTGAACAGCCACGTCACACCGAACCTCTGCACCACGAACCCTCCGGCCAGACTGCCGAGACCACTCCCCAGGAGCAGAGACAGAAAGTTGAAGACCCTCCTCACGCTCCTCTCGGCCCCCGGTGTGGCTACGTCCTCGCACTGCGTCCTCACCGCCCACCAGAGGGCGCCGCTGCTGAAGGCGCTGAGCACCTGAGCAGGTAGGGCAGCCCAGGGGCTCCAGAGGAGGGAGTAGTAGAAGCACTGCAGCCCGAGGCTCGCGCTCCCAGCTACGAGCACTCTCCCCGGCCGGAGGAGTTTAGAAACTCTGGCGGACAGAAGGGGGAAGGCGGCCTGCGAGAGCGAAGCGAGGGACAGGGACGCCCCCATGTGCAGCTCACTGCTGCCGTGATCCTGCATCTGCCAGAGGAGGAAGTTGTCCACGGCTGAGCCGGCCACCCCGGCGAGGAAGACGGTGAAGGCGCAGAGCAGAGCGTGGGGGGATCCGTGCACCAGCTGCAAGGCTTTCAGCAGCCCCCTGGCCCGGTCCCGCTTCTTATTCAGGTAGAGGGGGAGGTAGACGGCCACAGGCAGGGCCGCGGCCGCCAGGCCGGCGTAGCAGTAGAAATGCACCGCCGTCCTGGGGGTGTCGGCAGCGATGAGGCAGCTGAGCCGGCTGACCAGCAGCCCGGTGCCCCCGGCCCCACACGCCGCTCCGAGCAAACCCCACACCTCTGTGCTGCTGTAATGGTCCGAGGCGTCGGCGAAGTCCAAATACTCATAGAGGCCTTCGTCTGCGGTGCACTCCAGAGGAGCCGACACCAGCTCCCACACCGACATGATGATGAGGATGAGGAAGAAGAGCTGGCTCTGAGAGTCCATCTCCTTCAGGCTGCCCAGAAACTCAAACCTGCTCGGCTCCGTCTCCTCCAGAACCATCACAGACCTGCTCCGTCTCACTTTAGTCTCTAAAGCAGCGACAGTAGAATTTAAAGTCTTCATTTCTTCATGGCTGCTGCTGAGAACCACTGACGTGTTCGTCTGTGACAGCCGAGGGCGGGGTTCCTCTTTGTGCGCAGATGAAGACGAGTTTGTCGTTTCAGGACCAGGGTTCACGTCAGCGGAGCCGTTTGAAGGTGAGGTGGTCAGAGTGTGTGGGCGTATACTGGCACTGCTGGTGTTAAACTTATGCAGGTCTTGGGTTGGAGCAGAACTGGTATTTGAAGTGTTACAGGAGCTGGTCAGCGCGCCGGGAGCCCCCGCGGGGGGGAGAACCAGCAGGACGAGAGCAACCGCGGCCGAAAGCACAAGCGAGCAGTTTATGGCCACCCGCCTCTTGTTGTAGTGTTTGGACAGCAGGCTTGCCGCGGGGCTCCACACCAGCGTCATGAGGTGCTTGGCGCCCATGATGATGCCCGTCATCGCCGGACTCAGGCCCAGCTGCCGGAAGTAGAGGGTGAGGAAGGGGAGCAGGCTGGCCTTGGCGCAGGAGCACAGGAAGTTGAAGGCGCCAGCGAGGGCGAGGGCCCGCCTGATGTTGATCTGTCTGGTCCTCCTCATGGTCGCTCCCTCCGAAGGACGTCACATGGATTCAAACTGGGAAACACACGGGAGAGGAAATGAATTAAGAGCGTTCTCGGCTCAAACGCTTGGCGTTGAGGAGGAAACTGAGCGACTCAGAGGATTCAAACAAAAAACCAGCTGAAACCAGCTCCAGACTCATTCTGATTTAAAACTCGCCTCTTTGAAACGGTCTACAAACATTATTTTACATTGTTAGGATCAGTTTCACTTTACTTCCTGTTTTAATGCGTTTGGTCTTATTTACCTCTAACTTTTTGTCTACTTCTTGACAAAAATCCAAGAAAATTGCAACAATATGTAACAATGTTTTACAAAATTGATATTTGGACCAAAAAAAGTCCTTTATGGGTCAAATTAAGTCTTTAAACGCATCTTTTCCTTTGTTGTCAAAGATTAAATACTGTAAACACAAGACATTTGCATTATTAAAGTTGCTGGAGTCTTTGCAGACATCACAGAGGAGTCCTGAATGAACATCTACATTTATTAGTTAAGTTTAATCCTTAATAAGTGCACGTTAGTCAGAAGGAGGAGCTTTGCAGGTAAAACCCACGGAGCAGGATCTGAACACCTGTCATTTGTCCACGTCACGAGATAAAACCAAACCAGAGATCAAACATTCACCTCTTCCCGCTCGTCTCTTTCGTTTTAACTCCTTCTGCTGATCATTTCCCACCTCCGGCTCCGACACTTCATCCAGATCTTTGGTCTCCTTCGTGTTCGGTTAGGATGACACCTGTCCGAGCCTGGAGACGTTTTAACTTCAGTTTCACCTGGAGAGC